AGGTCCAGTTCATCAAGGAATTCGGTAAGCGCCAAGTGACGAGATGTGAACGTTTGTGATGGAAAGCAGTGCCGATAATATAATGATGTGGTTGGTGCAGAGTTGCGAAAAGCGATCACCACTGTCTGCTCCCTGGTGCAGTTTAGAGTCTGAGCATTCAAGTCAACAAAAGCAATCATGAAGTCAATATTCGTTGCCATACGAAGAAGAGATGAGAGCTGTCAATAAAAACCGTCTTTCAAACCCTTGGAACTGCAGTCGGTAGGGGCGATGAACAGGCACTTTGTCTTCAGACAATGCTTATTGGCACCAACAGAGGTTCGAAGTCGAACCACACAGATGCGGCTATTCATTGGCTGGAGGCGATGCCGACACCGTAAATGCCTTGAGTTACTGACTCAGTACCGCCAGGGACGCAACAGCGTAGTCACTGTTGGTCGATTCGAACCCAAGGGAGTCGAAGATTCGTCACAACGCTGCTGTGCTGTATACGTGTTTCGAAAACACAGCATACAGAAATAGTGAGAGACTGAAATATGAGAATCAGCGCTGTCTGCAGGCCGATCTGACCCAAAGTGCGGATTTTAAAAGAGCCGATGCGAAATGAGATACTAGGTTTGATGATAGAGCTACCTGTATCGATGATAGCAGCCGCGAGGTCAACAGCAGTACCTTGCTCAAAAAAAGGAGAGTTGAGACGAGAGAAGAATAAGAAATAGGTAGTACTGTCGATAGGGCAGATAATACTTTACGGCTGCCCATTCCGAGAGAAGAGTTTTGTTCGAGATGCGCTACCTCTAGCCTTTGACTCAACAGTCTGACCCGCAAGGTAGTTCACTTGAGGGATTCCACCAGAAGCCTTTGGCTAAATAACCTGACCAAGCCTACGTAAATGTGTATTTCAGGGCATTTGATGTTTTGGATAATGTCACAATTTTAGTTTAGTCTAACACTGTGAGTAACTTCTACATAATCACAAACGACGAGTAGAGGACTTGACGCGTATTGTGTGAGTAGCCGCGAAGTACAAATGCTCCTGTTTTCTTTCAAAAGGAACTTACGAACAATGGCGGTATAAGATGAATCGAGAGCTCAGAAATTGTTCCCCTGGTTGTAGAATTTGTCCACAGTCTCCTGGAATTAACCTGACTCGAAGGTGTTTTCCCGAGCTCTAGCTCGTCCATTTGCGTGCACGAAAGGCATGGGTAGATGTGTTTCGAAACAGTTGCGACTCCCATCTAGGTCTCTAGCAAGTTCACATCGGACAAGAGAGTAGTGAATGAAGAACACGCGGTGGTGCAGCGCACTCAAACTTATGCAGTGATAAAATGAAAGTGTGGAAATGGATGCAGATAATGGTATGGAGCGCCAAAGAGTGACCAGATAAGCAGTTGCAACAGAAATAGCATTCAAGTGGGTTACCGTATGAATGCGGGAGCCCCAAGTGGTTGGAAAATAGTGAGTAGTATAGAATATTCTATGGCAACGTCATCTCAAGCAAAGTTAGGTCGGTGATAATAAACAGCTCAGACGCCAGTAAGTCAACGAGAGGTAGACAGTGGACAGGGTTGCAAGGCTAGCTAGATTCAACATTCACTGAGCAATTCAACGTGATGGGATGAGAGGAAGGGAGTGCTCGAGAAGATCAGAAGCAATAGGGATAGTGACAATTGATTCACGTCGGGTGATGGTAATGGAAACTGACGACTGTGAAATATCACATGGACAGAACGTCGGCCGGAAGAGCACCGATCAGACATCGGTAGTGTATCGGTCAATGATGCAAGCAAATTACAATGGTCACATGGAGCTGGCGTGAGCAAGCATCGACGGTATACTACCACTTTCGGAGCACGAAGTGCAAGTAGATTGTGCGGTGACAGAGACCGGGCAGCATGCGGTCGACTCGTGGAGCAGTGAGGAACGAAACGATGGGTTGATCGCAAACCACATTGATAAAAGTGCATCACAATAGATCGTAAGCCACAAACAAGTCGCATTTTAATCAACAGGTTTTGAATTGAGCCTAGTGCTTGTACTATCGTAATATGGCCACAGAACAACAACGTCCCTGATCATGCTTAAACGATCAGAAACTGAGGTGATTTGTAGCCGCGAATGAAATCTATCGGCATTAATGCATGTTGGTGGAACAAACAACCATCAAGAAAAACGGATGCATGTTATTAGAAGTTACCAGCGCCGTTGTAACTCTCCTCAATTCAAATGACAGTCCTTCACTATGACGGATGAAACTATCAATTCATTAGCCAAATGCCAATTAATAATAGGTTTGCTACTTAGCTGTTAAGTTGAATGGAGGGTCATTTTGGAATTGGATTGCGATGCTCAATCGCAATGTAGACCGCGATTCATATTGAAGTGAACCTTGGTTAATGCGATCACTTGGGCCGTAGCCGAAACAGATGGAAATCGGGTGTTGCCCGCCAGAAAACACTGCACAACCACGACGCGTTTCGATATCATTTTATCTCATCAGGTGGAGATAGCAGGCCTCGAACCCGCAAGCATTGGAATAGTAGCCGAAACCTCTACCCTTTTGGCTGTCGGTTGTTTAGCGTTGCCACAATTAAGGTTGTGTGGCCATCGGCGACTGGTGCAGGTTGTGTAACTTGTAGAATGTTAACGTAGGCTGGAAGCAATGCGTTTCGTCAAGGGCAGGGAAAAACGTGTCAACCAAGGGCACATGAGTTAACGAACAGAATAAATGTGGACACTGAATATAAATCGGTTGTGCTGCACTGAAGCTGATGGTCATACGGTGAATTTGGTCCCAGGAACGTCTGTGGCGCGTTGAATATCAGGTGAGGTAGTGCGAACGCCGAGATAGTATGGTATGGAGACGAGATAAAGTGGTCAGCATACAGTTAGAATAACGGAATATCACATACAATGAGAAGAGTCAAGTTGGAAAATGGATTCGGGGATAATTGTTTGACTCCGAAGGAGGGTCTTATTGAGGGTTTCTGCTATACACAACGATCAGAACAGTCGAAAGATCCGCTTCACAAATGCGAGACGAAGCTATCGATGAAGTTAACGGACTCAAGTGTATACCCTAGAGAAATGCAAACCGATACAGTCAGTAAAGGAGGCACCATGCGTGCGGTAACTGACGATCACTAACAGAAATCAAAGTAGACAGTAGGATAGCATGCGCGCGACTGGACACTGGAAGCTTTCTAGGTAGACTAACTCGTACACCCGCTGGCGCAGCCCCGATGTTGCAAATTCTGCGAACATGATTGAGTATTACCATGGACACAAGGTATATAAGCATCATCACCGGAACTCGACCCTGGTAATCGAAAATGCATTCCAACGCCACTGTCCAGTATGTGGGTTTTGGATACACGGCACATCTCGACTATTGGGTGATGAAAAGTTAGCATTGGGTTGGCCCGGCGATCGAGATGAGTGAAGTGCTTTAACAGTGCGGACGTTGAACGATGCTATGCAAGAGCACATCAGCGGGGTGGAAAATGATCGAATCTCTTGTTAGTGTAGCTGGCCAAGTCTAGCACACAATGATTGCATTTTGAAGAAAAGAAAGGCGTAGCCAGTGGGAAACTGCAGGGAAATGATATTCTTGCGCTCCCTGGTTTTGAAAAATGGACTCTGACCGCGGGCAGTTCAGCACAACATTTGACACACAACGCGCCGGGGTGCCGAGTTCGACCTAGGAGTGTGGTTGCAGAGACATGCGTTTTACTTGAGGCCAGCTACAAGCTTGCTAAGGAGTTCAGAATAATTTGTACATTTGGTTCGATCATGGAAGATTTCACGCGATTCTCCACGGCTGGATGTAGATGAGTTTCGGTGGTCCAGCACCTTGACGATCCAAATTGTTGCAGATGATAGCAAACCATGGTGCAATAGTTGTGCTCTCCTAAGCTCAGAGAAAGCCGACGGCGCATGTGCATCCACGCATAGTAAACCACTGTTTCTCGTGATCAGGTTAGAAAAGGAGGATCAACATAATCTCCTCAGTTATCAACGAAAAGACGGTGAACCATTCAGCACACATCGAACCAAGGGAGTCCTTTTAGAATTGTGGATTTCGGAAAAAGCAACAGCTTTGAATTAAGCGAACGATGTGTGGAAGTCAGAGAAGCAGAGATCTCATTGCTATGTTCAAACTACTAAGATATCAACATGTCTATCTCAAGTTCTACTGGTTGGGTGTTGCTTGGTCTTTGTAGCCATACGAGCAAAATCGCGTCATTTGCGCTGCGGAATTGACTGTGCCCTGCTAGCGTCCATCGTGGGCTAGAGGTTGAAACCCCACACGCACGTGGTTGCCGCTTGTATCAACGATCGGCACACTTGTGGCATCCAACTGGGAAAGTTCTCATAGATCTCATGTCTGCTTGAAGTTAAAGAGGTTATCATCACTGCAAAACTGCCCTTAGTTACACCTACCCATGCGACAATTTCGAGATGAAGACGGGTACGATCAGAGCAGCCCAACGGATAGAGATAGTAGGCAGGCACTAGTAGAGAAAACGGTAAGCGGAGATTTACGGATAGATGATGCATCTAGCTAACAGCCATCGACCATGCGCAACGGCGGGAATGCCGTCGCCTAGTGGATCGATGAGAATATCGGTACGTGCAAGAGTAGCTTCAACTAGCTCTGGAGCCTACAGCTCATAAACAAAAGACGGTGAAGAACTCAGCAACAGAGTGGAGACGTAACGGTCAGAAGCAACCTGCCTGGAATACAATAGCATGCGTGCATTGTACCTCAATACTGCATCAAGCTAGGCGAAACCTTGAATTCCCCAGTGTGTGATTTGGAAAAGGTGTAATAAACTGAACGAAAGACGGAGTTAGGTTGGAGAATGAAGTTTACCAAGTTGAGCGCCTAGAGGTCAGGTACAGAAGTGAGTGTATCCCATTTATGGTAGAGTGCTTCTCAAACTATAATGTCATCTGGCAGGGGGAAAACGGCATCGAGAAAAATTTCAAAAACTTACGAGCAGATTGGGCACATCATAAACTTTTGGAATGAATACAGGATTCCGCGTACAGTTGAACGTTTGTGCTCCAGTGGATTCGTCCAGTTCCACTGGGCAAACAAAATAGTCGAACTGTAGCAGAACGAGGGAGAAAACAAGGGCGAACAATAGAGTGGCGAGGCCACCGCCAACAAAGCCTTCCCAAGTCTTCTTGGGGGATAGCTTGATCAGAGGAGTTTTGCCGAAAAAGAACCCGAATACGTATGCCATAATATCGTTGCAAATCACCAGGGATACAGGCAGAAGAAACCTGTTGCAAGAAAAAGCAGATGAACAGAGAAAGTTGAGGGATGAGGCTATTTTAAAAGCGGGCGGTGAAATAGGATTGAGTGATTGATGCGAGAATAAGAAAAGTAAAATCTAAAAATCCATGTCCATTTTAAGAGGGCAAGAATTGTTAAATAGCAAGATGCAGTAGCAATTTCGGCATACGTAGCTTGAGCATAGAATTCGGATGTAATCAGTGTGCATGACCCACGCCGACTGGCCTAGTGCTTGAGGTAGAGCACGCCAACGGCGATCCCCAAAGGTGTGCTTATCACAACGGTCAGGGACCCATTGTTGATTTGTTTGGAGCTCCTGCTGTGTGAATCCATACCGACACGGAATCTCAAAGCGCGATTCAGTTTGGCGCGAACCTCAATCTGTTCAGTCACTGGGATTGCATCTAAAGCAGATAGACGGTAGATGCACCTCATTCCAAAATGACGGAGAAACTGGGTGCGTGGTGCAATGATGGTCACGGGCATCATCAAACATTCACCCACACCAGATACAGCTGAAGCACTGCCATCCGGATAACTAATGTGTCCGTCTGTCAACAGACAAGAGGATAACAATTAGTACAGTTACTAGCACTACAATTAAAAATATACGTAACGTGATGAAGATACAACTGTTCATGGTCATGTCAATCATACATAGATGGAATTCGTCGTGAAACAAAGTAGGAGCATCCTGGGAACTTATGTACACGCTCACGAGAAGTAGTGCAGACTAGGGATGCAAAGGTATTAACAGTAGACCGGTGCAACGCTTCGCTGATTTACGACCGTGGCATTGTTGTGCCGCCTACTGCTGTGCACTTCCTATGGGTTGATACATTTGCAAACTGCAGTCACATTGATCAACCTGATCTGATTCCAACTCCGACCCAATCCAAATTACGTTCTTACACTGGAGAAACGTTCAATTGTTAGGGAGCTGGCTACTTAACCCTCAGTTTCATGAATTATGTTACTTGCCTATTTCTTTGTTTGCGCAGTTACCTGCTTCTCTGTTACATTTTGGACACGCCGCTTTCCTCAGCCTCATTCGCAATCGCTCACAGCTAATTTCAGCCGTCTCATTCTATGGACATTCTGATTGGTTTCTTTTGCTCAGCGTTCCTTAGCTTTTTCACGTGGATGTATTATTTAGCCGACACATATTTATTATACCTGTTTTTATTTTCCTGGCGTGTATCATCCTCACTATCAACTGTTCTGGCATTTGGTTAAACGCATCACTTCTCCACACTGATTTGACGCTACTCGTCGTTTTTAATGGTCGCTCACCAGAAGGTTACCCCCAGGGACTAACTCCGCAGACACTATTTTCTTTGCTGCACTTCACTGGCTCGTAATTTTCGCGATTCTCATTTGCTTGTTCCATTTTGTGTTTTCTCCATGCCTGTAGGATCTCATGCGTTTAGCAGCTTGGATTCGCCCTTGTTTGTAAAGCTATATACCTGGTGCCGTGCTGTAATGAAAAATCTGTTCATTCCGGCTCATCTTGGACTTCTTCTTGCGGTCGTGGGGTGAAGGCGTACTGGGCGTCACAACATCAATGTACTGCGCATGTACGACACGAGAGCAAATCATGCAACCGTCACACTGACTCTTCCGTTAATTGTTCTTAACACAGATGCACGGAACCTAATTGAAACTGGTTGAGGCACATGCAGTAAATAATTCAGTGTCAAAAAGTGGACTGTATTGCCCACACTCTACAAAACTGTGTTTTTGATGTAAATCTACCTAGAAAATTACGCGATTTCAGAATTTTTAAATATCAAATCAGATAGTCAACAGTAAGCTTACAAAGCGCCGTTTACTTTTCGCAATCGGTCCCAAAGGTGAGTTGGAGCGCTTACAAAAGGCTGGAGAGTTTCGCTTGTACCTCACTCTTCGTAGGCTGCACCTATCGCTGTTGCAGAAAAGTTTGATGCTTCAGTTCGTATTTGTAGCGAATACAATGTGACGGTTAATCGGGCGACCAGGGCGGAACACTATCCGATTCCAAGGACGGACAGACTTATACGCAACCGTCTGGTGGACAAAAGTACGCCAGACTCAACCTAAGCTACCCTTGCCCTCAAATTATCATAAATTTGCTAAGGGAATTCTAAGTATCGATACACATAGGAGGTTCGTTGCAACACCGCCATATTCATCGGTGAGCCAGCGCAATCGTATTTCTTGAGATCAAAAGCGCCTTCAATTCGGTTGGTCGATGTGTGTGTGCGCCCAAAAAATACGTGAACATTATCACAGCGCTACGCGCATAGCTCTGGCAGAGTGAGGGTTTATGGCAAAATTTCACTGCCCTTCTATATTTCCAACGGCGTGAAACAAGGTTGCCCACTGTCACCTCACCATTTTAACCTCTCCATTAACGAATTCATGGAGAGTGCGTTTACTGGACACGATCTGCAAGGTGTGGTGCTGCTCCCAGGTTATCGACATCCTGACTTGGCGTATGTCGATGAGATTATCCTAATCCGTGACAGCTCACAAACGTGCCAAGTAGCACTGGAAAAGTTAACGTTGGCTGTCAGTCATTTCGGGCTATACTTCGCACCATCGAAATGCAAACTCCTTCGCCAAGATTGGAAGGGACCCAACCGTGCGCTGACTGTTGGTGGGTATCAGCTTGAAGGCGTCGAGAGATTCAAGTATCTGTGCAGCTACATTAGTGCCAGTGGAAAAGAAGAATAGATCACACACCGCATAGCAAAAGCTTGAGGCGCTTTTGTCAATCTCCGCTACTTGTGGTTTCCGCGCGACATCACCCTCTCCATGAAAGGTAGAGTTTACAGTGCAACCCTACTGTAAGTTGACAGACATAAGGAGGCTAGTTACGTTCGAGCATCGCTGCCTTTGCAGGTAAGCTGACGTATGGTGGGAACACGGCGTGAGCAATGAGCGTGTTCGGTGTCATGTATTTGGTGTGGGAAGATCGAGTGAATCGATCAGCACCGTTATTTCACGCACCAGACTCCGATGGCTGGGTTAAGTATTGCGCATGCCAACACACCGACTCCCGTGTCGTGCGTTGTTTCTGCGCCGGTTTAGGGATGAAAAAAGGGGAGGAGAGGCCGAGCGACGACTTGGTCAAGAGGAATGAAGGACCACACTTTGAACTTGGCGTCGGTTGGTGTCTAACGACTACTTGACTGAGGACCAAAGGACAATGAACACATTTGATTGGATAGACTTGCTGACAGGGTTAGAAGTTAAGCTTAATGGCGTTAGTGCTGTGAGTTTCTTTGTCTCCCAATTACCCGCCTACCTTCTCCCTCCAACCAAAATCTTTCTTGTGGTGCTAAGAAGTGTGCTACCAGTATCTCTGTATTTTATAGTGCTAGTATCTTGCTTTTTCTTCTTTGTACTGTGGCACAATAGTAGTTCATACCTTCAGATAATGTATTATCATGGTGATGGTGATACAGAGGAGCGTATAAATAAACAAACAATATACATCCGTCGACAGTGCGAGGCACAGACCAACGGAGTGGCCTGATCATTAAAAACAGAATGGGGCAGGTAATTTTTTAATTTTTTCAGAGTAGTTCCCAAATTATTTTCGGAGGCTGACAGTTCAGTTAAGCCTTTTAAAAAGACTGTAGACTGAATATTGGAAATAGTGGACTAGTAGATATGTGTCTAAGTTGCTCCATCGTAATTAGTTCGAGCATGTGCGCAGAGGCACGTCACTGACTCCTGCGTGTTTGCGGCATATTACAGCTGGGCCATAGGTTATCCGACTACGATGCGCTCCCTGACACAGAAATGCGCAAAGTGGATGGTCCAGGAATTGCTTGAATTCCGACACCTATTTTGCCTCGACAATTTTCGTAGGCAAACTGTTCCGATATTTAACCACTCGGCGCTGGAAGCATAGAGGGTGAGATATCCGCTTTAGGTCCGGTACCACTAGCTTTTAGCCGTGCCCGCGAATGCTGCTTGGTGCCCGCACGTGAAGCAGTGGCCTCAGCATGGGAAAGTGATCTAGGTGCATAGGTTGCTATTAACAATAAAAGCAGAAAAATCCAAATGTTCGGATGAAGCAATAGGGCCAACTGAGGAACTGTCTCCAGGGAATTTGCCTCCATGTATGGTAGTCCCTCGAAATGTTTCACTCGCACTTCCATGCATCATTTAGCCGTGTGTCGATGTGGCTTTAGAGTAAGTAAACCATCACCAGTTTAACTCATCTTTACGACTTTTTGTGTATATAGTATGGAGACTCCAGTTATCTAGCCCGTAACATCAATCAGGTTTTTGAGTCGAGCACTTTTGTTACTCGATAGTGAGTCAATGGCAATCAATCAATCCATCACCTTGATAGATCGACTCAGTCGTGGCCAACAATGGAGCAAGAAGAGAAAATAGGAGGCAGCAGCGTAACAACAGTGATGATAATAAATAAAAGAATGGCAAAAATTTAACTACAGCGCAACGAAGGCCGATGGATTTTCCGATCAAATAGTACGGCGGGATCGCTGAAATAGATGACTGCTCGAATTATTGATATACATGGTAGTTCTGGAAGAAATTTGCACATTCATCCGTTGGGATTACACTGTGCACCAGCAATCTTTCAGATTATTATAGATAACTTAGTAAGAGGCATAGATGGAGTGACCGTTAACCTGGACAACATTTTGGTCACTGGTCATACAGACTAGGAACACAGGACAGTATTTAAACAGTCATGAAATGCCTACAAAACATCGGACTAAAACGCAAGAAATCCAAGTGTCTTTTTGCGATGGCGTTGAGTATCTGTGTTTGCGCATGGACAAACAAGGTCACATATAATACGGGGAAAAATTCCACCCATTCTGGATTCTCCGACACCCCGTAAGATCAACAAACTAAACCCATTACAGTCGTTTATTAGGCAACTTGCCTACTATTTTCAGGCCATTGTATACTTTGCTTTGAAAGAATACCAGCTGGATGCGGTCAGATAATAATCAAAAAGCTCATGATACTGTCAAGTTGGCCATAAGTAGTGCATTTTGACCCAAAAAGCGGTTACTCATCGATGCGAAACATCCCCCCACAGGGGTCGGGGTCATACCATCTCACAAAACGGAAGACATGACCGAGCGACTCATAGCTTTTGCGTACAAAAGATTGGAGGTTGTGGAGATGAAGTACACACAGATAGACAGGGAGGCTTCGGTGTCTTTGGAGTCAAGAAATTAAACCAGTATCTATGGGGGGGGGGGAACGTTTGAAATCTTCACGGACTACAAACCACTAGTAACTTGGATTGATGGGAAAAAAGGCATTAAGTAGATGACGTCTCCTCGTGCGCAACACTGGGCTTTATGACCACTTAGTTACAATTAAAAGATTTATATTCCTTGGAAAGCAAATAGAATCGTGGACAATCTGAGTTAGTTCCCGTTGAATCATCTACCGGATTGCGTACGGCAATCTATGGAACCAGTCAAACTGATGCAAAATTTTGGCGCAAATCCGGTTTTAAACGCAGACATCCGGCTAGAAACCGAACGATCCAAATTACTCTTAAAAGTCAGGCGTCCAGTCTCTCAAGGAGGCCGGGCAGGTGTGAATCGTAACCATAGTTTACCCGACACAGTCTAGTCTGGTCTGGAGAGTCAGAGTGATTATACCACCCGTTTGCGGTAGTATATTTTCCAAGAACTGCACGAAAGGCACCCAGGAATCATGATGATGAAGGGATCTGCGCGATCTAATGTCTGATGGCCTAACATTGATAGAGATGTCTAAGAGTTAATCCGACATGGCCATGCGTATCAAAACACACAGAGAGACGTCCTTTGGTACCAATTAGGGCATGGAAATTACCCAACAAAAATTGAAAACGCATACTGCAGGTTTCGTTGCTCCGCTCGATGGGAAAATGGTTTTCCCCTTGGTTGATGCTTACTCGAAACAGCTTGAGGTTTTCTTGTTGACCCGAGCTACCTCTGAGACGACAGGTTTCTGCATGAGGACGTGCTTCAGTACGTTCAGTATACCATAAACGATGGGACAATGGTTCTGCATTAGCCAGTCAAGGATTCCCAGAGCCCCTCAAAAACCACAGTATACGTAATGCGAAACCAGCCCCTTATCGTCCAACTTCAAACGGAATTACGGTCAACAGCGGGTTACAGAAAGAAGCAGTAGCCACGCTACGAACCAAGCTGGACAGATTGCTTTTTAGCTACCGCAAAATGCCAAAGCCAACTACTGGAAAGAGCTCTGATGAGTTGATGTTTGGACGAACGTTGAGGATACGGATGAACCTACGGTTTCCTGACCAGAAGATAAGCATGGTAAATCTAAGACAAAGTACGATAAGAGGGTTACGGATCAACAACACTGCGAAAACGAACCGGTCTAAGTCAAGTTGTCAAACGAAACGGGCTACCAGTCTGGAGAGTTGCGTGAAGTTGTGGGACGAAATAAGAAGGTGGCTCTATCGGATGGCAGAAGAGTTACACTAGGGATATGGACCAAGTGCATCATCGGGTTGTTTCAATTCCGCCAGATGATGTATATTCAAACCAACCTATTGAGTTGACAGACACGCAGAACATGGAAAATTCCGGTCAACTGGAGGCTCAGCAATGTTGCCGCTCAGCTCTCCTACGCTGACCCGTCGATCGATACCAGGCTAGCCGGAGTGGTCCTAACCAAAGGGAAGAATGTGGCATCCTCGTGGCTCCTACTGCTGTGCCTCCCCAAGAGCTGTCAAAATTTGCAAGCGTGTGTCCGTCTGCCATGAGACTACTTATGACTGATCTAAAGTATATGATGTACGCGCTGAACAAAATGCCGGTTGGAGTATGGTTTGCCTCCCGTTTGTCTGTCGTATTTTACGTCGCGGTACTTCGGCTACGAGCCAGATGTTGAGTGTAGTCCCGCACTTGACAGACTGTAACAGCAATTACCACAAGTCGCGTGTGCGCTAAGAATATTAGCAGGTCGCCCGCAATTACGCAGATCAGAATCCGTGACTTTTGGGTTCCTAGAAAGACGCCTTAACAGGCTAGAAATGAAGGAAACTAATTCGAAAAGGTTTATAAGACTTCTCAAAACATCAGTCACCTATGGAAATGGTAAGACATCAGTCCACCAGTTAAATACAGGGTGAACAGGATTGCAATGCATCCAGTTCCACTGTGCGGACAGGTGTTCGTCAGTTTTGCTTTGCGTCGATCATATAGAATAGGACTGCGCTATCTCTTGGACCTGTAAGTTACACCTCGGTTAGGCTACGTTTGCCGCATATCTCCCGACTGACTACTCCGGTGTGCAATGTATGCTGCTGTTGCGCCTACCTTGATGAGACAACAAAGTGGCCATTCGACGGGGCAAAAGAGTATAAAGAAACAGACCAGTAAAGAGTTGGCTGCTTACATTAGGGTTTGCGAGCTCAATAGAACAGTGATTAGAAACCCAAGCTGACGTTGCCAAGTTACGAAGGCAGTAGGGCCACCGCACAAAGTCCGGTGCGTCATGCTACCAACATTTTAATCAAAAAATGCTAATATTCTTTTCGAGCAATTTTCAATCGGTTATTTTTCTGTAAGTTAAGCAGTATTCTCTTTTTGTTTTGCTTTCAATCCTCACCATTTGTATTTTGCTGCAAGTTCGATGTAATAATGGTAGTCGGATCTGCTACATCTAGATTTCCTGGATCATAGCTGGTTAACTGACCTGCTTGGGCTGCCATATAGAAGGCACTGAAATGTGTAACACTGAAAAACAAGCAAAGGTAAAAAACACTACTGGGCGTCCAACAGACAATGTATCGTGATTGATACATGATTCTCGGAGCGGAAAAGCTATACTTGACAAACACGGTCCAACTGAAGGAGAACTCGTTCGCAATCTGTGCCAAACACGAAAGGAAGTTAGTCTGGCGCACACTTGGGATGAGCTAAGTAAACAATATATTAAGCAAAAATGTATATCAAGGAAAGCACAGACGGAATGCAGTAAATCATGGTAGTGTGGAAAATGTTTATGTCATAGCTGAGAAGCAACCCCAACCCGAACAACAGTGATCCCACTAACAGCCCAGCGTCGTCTCTTGGATGGCAATACAACACCAATACCCTAAGCCTAGAAAACAAAGAACGTGGATAGGACGCATCTGGCGAACAGTCCCAGTTTAACTGTGCTCACTCACAGATCCGATGCTGTTTGCGCATCCAACAGCGGTTGGCAATTATCCGATCATACACAATGTGTGCGTCGTAGGGCATACAAAGAAAGTCCGAGGCGGGAGTGAGTGATAGGAGATAGCAAACGCCATCGCAACCATGGAGCAAGTGACCATAAGACCAGCAGAGCACAGACGCGTACATTACATCAAGGAATCTAAGATACGGCCCCATGGTAGTACTTACGTTGGATCAGGAAACCTAATGACACTCCGTACGTGCCGAACCTAGGGTGGTTATGTGGAGGTCGTGTGAAACTTATGGGCACATGCTTTGTTGACCATGCCAAATAGTAGAAAAGTGATTATTGAGGAATTCACTTGGAACGATGACAAGCAACTGGGTTAGGAAGTAAGCGCTAGTCGCGATATTATTCCACGCAGCTGTCGCCTCCAAATACAATTTAGGCCAAGTGAAATGAGGTTCTGGTGACAAAGAGGAAAAGTGCCGAAAAAAGCAAGAAGTGCATAGGTGAATGCTGACCTAGGGATCCAGGGATTGAATCGACCAAAGTTCACTTCTATGCGAATATATATATATATATATATATATATATGCGAAAGGTGGTGGGTTCGGTTCCAGGTGGTGCTAGAGCATACGCGAAACTAACGAGTCTCAATAGAACAAAATGGTCGTCTATCGCTCTTTCGGGTGTATAGAATGACTCGCAGCTAAATGTGACGAACTATCCCCGATGTAATAAAGATCACCTGAGAAATCACCGAATTCAATATGTGCATCATATCAACATCCCAGACCCCTGGTCCACGTGTTAATGGAGGTTGCTAATTAGTCGAAAAGAATGTACAGGCATAAGAAGAAAGGCGGGAGATCAGAGAAATATCAAAATAAAATCAAATTTCGGCACTTACCAAATGATGCCATTGAAAATGTTGTAGATTTGGAAATGCGAGGTGAACACGACAATCAGCAAGGTGACATGAGTCCAGCCGAACTACAAAACAGTGGGATGAAGTAGAAAAGCATAATAATGAAGTCAGATGGTATTCAGTTTAGATTAGGTTAATTAAACCACCATGTGGGCGGAGTATCCAGCTGCCCCAATAAGAGTCAGCATTACAATTTACAGCGTGTAACCAAACAGGGTGAGCTGGGGTTACTAACATACAAAAACTCATTGGCATGTACCGATTGTGTCACCTGCTCTGGTGCTAAAACGTTCGCAATCCGACTGCCAAGCTCAGTGAACGCATGAACAACTAAATAAACAGTTGCCTATATGTCTTCGCTTCACACATCGGTAGGTATTCATGTTTGTGAATGCAACACCGGTAGCAGAATTAATCGGTGGATGCAGCGATTGAGCTGATCAAGTAATACACTGAAAAATTATTGACCAATAAATGGGAAGATTACGTGTCATCCAGGTTGGGTCTGCGTCACTAGGGTTCACAGTGCGCAACAGGGACAGCAGGCCGTCAGGTGGCGGGTGACCCAACATAACGTATTCTTCAGCCGAACAGTCCGGTATTAGTCCCATAAATAGTTAAAACCCGCCACCCATCCAGACGTAGTTTAGTGGCCTGCATATCAGACTGTTAGCCGCATGGCCGTGGTTCAAGTCCTGGGCTCTCCACTTTTTGCTGGCCAACAGCTTTAAGTTAATAAGCTTGTAATCTGACGGGGCGGGTTCAAGTCTGCGTAGGGGTAATGCGACCGCCGCATTATCCTTAGCCCACGTGCGACTGGTGGTGGTTGCGCGGCAGCGAAGCGGCAGTACTGGCGTACTGTTGATGCATTTTCTTGCTTGCTTGATATGTAACATCGAGGTGCTAGCAGATATAGCAATTGTTTTCGTGAGCTTTGCCACATTCTAATAACCACTGGAATCATGTGTAAATCAGCAACCAGAGAAGGTACAGCCATTTACGTCATGCAGCATGTTGACTGGTTCAAAGAGACCCTACAATTTGACGAACCATAATGCTGCTTAGGTATCCGTTTGAAATTATGCCTTGCCCATAGGTGGAAGACAATTTCGATTAAAACAATGGTTGCTCGATAACGCCAAATCCGGACCAACAGATCGACGACGCTTCATGCGCATCCGCCGGTTTCTACTGCGGCTCGCGCACAGCCTTCACAAATGATTTAGTTTAATGAACAAACGTGACGATGTAGTTCACTTCGTTGCCTCACGTCATCTGGCCATACTACGACTGGCCGAAAGCTGGTTAAATCTTGAGGTCACTACCTAGGAAGACCAGGCCAGTGGCCACACGTGCCTCCGGTGCGACAGACTATCAAACGATCGAGGCGGCGTGCTGTTATAAATTCGGTCCTTGCTGTGCGGGAGACTGGTACACACCTACAGTAGGGAAGATGGCTTGTGCGAACAGTTATGGTGCTTGATCCGCCTGAGATAGGGTGAACAGTTTGTGGGTGCTGCTTATCGCAGCCCGCGAAGTCGATGCCTACATTGGTTGTCGCATGCCAGAGACTACATGAGTCGGCCCCGCTTCCTGCTTATGAGTGATTTTAACTACCCTCGAAACCGATGGCCTGAGGTTCTACTTTTCGCCGGGCACTGTGAAGTCGAGGCGCAGTCTGCGGAGATGGTAGATGAAACTGGGGTAGCATAACATGTCTGCCATCCGAGGCGAGTTACACCGCATTCCGTTCCATCGGGCCTGGACATACTACTAACGAGTTGCGAGCAAGGTGTACATAAAATTCAGGCTCCGGAGCCGCTGGCAGCTGGTGATCACTCGACGGTGTTAGCCAGCCTAGAGCTGCTGCTGCCCTATTCGCGTTTGCCGGAGCCGTCCTACAATTATTAGAAGACCGACTTCAATGGTCTAAACCGAGCCGCCAGTGAAGTAGACTGGTCGCTGCCGCAGGATTCATTTGTTGAAGCCTGTTGGTCTGTTACAAAAGAGGGTGTGTAATCGTTGTGCGCTCGTTTCGTACCCCTCAAGTATAGGAAAGCTGGACCAGCGAAGCCACATTGGTTCGACAGAGTCAGTTGGCTCGACGGCGAGGCGAATTATGGAATAAATTCCTCGTCTCTGGCTCTGCCGACGATTATGAGGAGTACAAAAGGCAGCGGAACCTATGCAACAGAGCAAAAGCGTCGGCAGTTCGAAGAGGAGCCTGCAGACTCAGCGAGGATGGCCCCAAGAAGATTTTTGCTTATGTGAAGCGGCGCCTGACGTCTGAAAGTAACGTGACTGTGTTAGAGGGCACTGACGGACAGCCTCTGACCTCCAGCACTGAACGTGCGTCCGCATTGGCGGAGCACTTCGCTTCCGTATATACAAGTGCGCATGCGCCTATGCCGAGCTCGACGTGTGCAGCCCCTACTGAACTCGAGGGCCTTGATTGCGGTGTAGATGTCCGCAGTCTACTCGCCAGTCTTGATGGCACAAAACCTGCCGAACCCGATGGACTTCACCTGCTAATTTTGAAGTTCTTATCGGCCATCATCTCGCCTGCCGTGACGGATCTGTTCAACAGATCACTGTCCGAGGGTGCATTGCCGAGCGACTGGAAATGCTCGGTAGTGAAGCCGATTCCAAAAGGTGGTGACCCACGCAATGTGGACAACTATTGGCCAATTTATCTCACCTCAGTGTTGGCGAAGGTGCTCGAGAAGATTGTGAAAAAGGGTCTTCTCCAGCTGCTGGAGTCGAAAGATCTCCTAACGCCGGCACAGCACGGCTTCATGAAGGGCCGCTCGTGCATCACCAAGCTGCTGTTGACGCGGCAGGAATGGTTGCAAGCGTTGAATCGGGGGAAGTCAGTGGATGTTATCTACATTGATTTCAGGAAAGCTTTGGATAAAGTGAATCATGAGGTTCTGCTCCACAACCTGAGAATGTGTGGTGTTAGTGGCGCACTGCATCAGTGGACCAGTGACTTCCTTATTGGGAGAAGATTGGGGGTTCAGGTGGATGACTAGTTAACGGAATGGTACCCGTCCATTAGCGGCGTACCCCAAAGCACAGTACTGGGGCCCATTTGATTCCTGATCCAAACGAACGAAGTACCTCAACTTCTTCGATCGCCCTGCGTATCATTTGCGGATGACCTGAAGATTTGGAGGAATAGTGATTCTCCCGGCGACTGTGACGTCGTTCAGCAGGACCTAAACTGCCTATCCGGGTGGTATGCAGAAGTTGACCTACCGGTCAACACAGCCAAGTCCTCGTTTTTGAGCTTGCGGAGGGGTAGTAATGGGTGTGCGTACACTCTTGTCGGCCACCAGTTCCGTAAAGGATCTAGACGTATTCTCACGCTGTGATCTGAAGTCTGTGGACAGCACGAACAGACTGTACGCAAACGGACTACGCCTGCTTTGGGCACTTAGATGTAGCTTCTGCACTTGGTCTGAAGAGATTTCCACCCGTCTGTTCTCTTCCATAATAAGACCGGTGCTTGAGTACGGCTCACCCGCTTATTGTTCGATCACAATAGGTGAGATGCAGAGATCGGAAGGGGTCCAGCATGTAGCTACCCGGCTCATCCCTAGTATACGGGGTATATCGTACGAGGACCGAAGTAGGAGACTAGGGCTGTATATCCTGTCATATCGTCGGCTTCGAGTTGGTCTCATTATGACGCACCGGATACTGCACCTGGGCCACTTCCCTATGTTGAGGCCGCTGCTGCACGTTCGCGCACCAAGCAGCACACGCGGACACCGGTACAAACTAGTGGTACCGGATTTAAAGCACATCGCTCACCCTTTATACTTCGAACGTCGAGTGGTGAAATATTGGAACAAATTGCCGGAGACGCTAGTTGAGGCGAAATCGGTGTCGGAACTTAAGAGATTCCTTGACACCCACTTTGCGGAGTACAAGTATAGGGAGCGTCTCGCACCTGGATAAGATGTAGGGCACCGCGCAAAAATCAGCGACGTGATTCCGCGCATGTGCCCGATCCCCTACGAAGGAGCCACACAGATAGTTATCTTCACGCTCTCTACTCTCAGTATTCAGCACGAGAGGAAAAAGCTAAGTTGCGGCCCAACTAAAGCTCTGTCACTGGGATGAGGCGAAAATAAGATAGTCACCCTAGTCGGAACGGCAGACGATATGAGTGCGATCTGCACGATGAATCGCTGCTACTGTAGTGAACACAAAACAGAGAGCGTGCTATGAGAAAATATGAGGAAGAACGGAGTGTGGGAGAAACTTACTAGGGTGAATTGTTTGATGTAATGTTTCTTCACTAGGCTCAGCACAAATAGCACAATGCCGGAACAGTAGAACGAGAAGGACAGAAAGTGGTGATGTGTGACCAGTGGCTGGAGAAAATCCTGCAAACCGGGAGGGGGGGGACGAAGAACAAGAGTGAAAACGGAGGAAATTGCGCTACGGGAATCAACACGAAAGGCCGCAAAAGAAGTGAGAGGAGAGGGAACAGCTTAAGTTGGCCTCCTGGAAACTGTGAATAAAGGTGAGATTGTGCGAACTCATTGGTAAATAGGCCGACGCTAGTGTTCCTGGGGCTGCCCGATACCGGTTAGGTAGCCTTCCCTATTCGGGCCAATGATTGGGCTCAGCTGGGCGAACACCGCAACAACTGAACCAGCCACTCGAGCCATCAGTATAGCAAAGAATTTTGAACTCGGAGTAGTGGTTCAGGGTACAATTTGAGATGGTGCGCATCGGTTCTAGTGAGCCCGTTCATTTCATGTGAAACCATCGGAGTAACTAGTAAAGTAAAACGTTCTGTTAGGCGAGAAGCGCATTCATCCTCCACGTCTTCACTCCGTCTACTGACTTCCACTGTAGAAGTAAAACATGAAATGAATGTGACGCAGCGAGATATGACACGGATGACGTGAGGTGATGATATGAGTACTCTATCGTTGAGCAGCGCTATAAACCAGGTACTTTAAAAGGTTGCAAACATACATCCTTGACAGTTAAGGAAGCCTAGCGTCGGAAATCAGGCGACATAGGCGCCGCAAATGCTCTCGAAAGCAGCTTGGTACGTGATCAGAAAAACTCGAGTGGTGGGAAATGTGCCTCTTCAAACAGGGCACTATAGGGTTAACTGAATGCTAGCAAAACCACTATGAAAAAGTGGCCTCATGTGTAGCCCACAAACAGTCACTCAACCGTACAGAGTCTGGTGAGGTGATTTCCAATAGGATCAACTTAGTGGATGGAGGGTGATGTGAACGAATCCACGCCAAGCTGCAGGGATGTCGATCCACGAAGCGGGCAATTTGCAGAGATTTCTAACCAATGCCAATGGCTGCAGTGAACAGTGCTGTACACGAGTGGAACAGTGGTTTACCTTCCTATTGCGCGGCATCGCAACCGTTTGTGACCTTAAACAAAATGGATATACACAAGAGGGGTGGTACCGCTTTTTGCGTGTTACCAGGTGTCGATACACATCTGGAGACAATGTCACAATTCTGACTCAACTGCCATGAAGTAGTTAGGAGTTTTCGTCAATGCTGTACGTTGCTCAAAGTGTGATTAAGCGCACGTGTGCGCTTCTCCACTCAGATATCTACTACACTGCTAGTCGACAGTGAGTCAAATGCCCTTAACTGTTGCTCACCGACGCGTCCGGCCGGATATCCCGCAACATCCGGTGTCCGCGAGTTGGGTGCATATTTGGTCTAACCGAAAGAGGAACGAGGTAGTTGGGTCGTTTGGCTACTTAGGTTGTAGTTCAGTTCAGTAAACGACCAAGAGCAACGCTTAAAATTGTAATGGACCCAAATAAATGCCTCGGAAATGATCCGTGCGGTCGTACTGATGGACATTGCATGTCGCGATGCGTTCACAGGAAGTGCTCAAAGATGAATGCACGGTGGAGTGTGCTTAATTGTGTTGAATTGCGTCCTAATGACGGCAAGGATTCTAAAGTGCAAAAGATCTGGAAAGCAAAATAAAATGTACATGGCAAATGGTCAAAGGAATCGCAGAAGAGCCGTGGAATAAGAACCGCGTTACGACGGATGATAACAAATAGAAAAGGAGCTAGAATGATTAGGAGAGGATATCATAAGACTCCTTCCATACGAATTCTTCATGTCCTCTGTCACTTCATAACCTTGGTCACCTCATGAGCAGAGTACAGCAAGGGAAGTTTTGGAATTTATCGGACTGTCCGTCCACAGTGCAATGAATTCCCGAAAAACACCAATCGTCAGGATGAGGGTGTGTGCACGATGAGTACGGCCTGAGTTCATGAAACCCAGGTGAATTCAGCTAGCCGAAACAGAATAGAGAATCGAAGCTCTCGCCGTACAAACGCTCGAACGGTTGTATTTAGATAGAAGTATTTAAGACAACATGAAAGGTGGTCAGATTGGAAATGATAAGAAGCATCCAGTTAATCTGCTGGTTGTACCAGATAACCCAGGCGAACGTCTATCGAACAAGAGTTTAAAGACAGCATGAAATCGCTGAACTGCCGTGTTGTTGTTGCGGTCAACAGGACAGTAAGCTGGTCACAATAAAGTAATTGTTATGTGTGCGTCCAAACGAGTTCTAATCACAGACCGTAGTTACGACTTGTGAAACAATGCGGGTTCTAGTCAAAACACATATTATGATGGTTGGAGTCATTAGGCCAGGACCGGACGCTATGTTCTTCGAACCTTGGTAACCAAGGTAAGCAAAATAGGTTCGTCTTAAATAAACCAGCTGTGCAAATACATCGTTACTCTTGGGACTGTGACTAATTCGACCAAAATAGAATGGTCAATTGGATATCACTGAGGACCGCCAGTCAATGCGATGCGGACCGAATACACAGCTAGACGGCACCACAAGTGTTGTTTAGCACTGGCAACAGAGCTGAGAACTCGTATCGGATACGATGCTGAATCACATCAAATGATTCACGTAGATTAGGGCGACCGACGAACAGGCTTGTGCTCTTGTCGTGTTAGTTTCAGACATTCTGTAATTTCCACAAGTAAACCTGGCTTATAAACGGACCAGAGTTATTACAATTGGTCTCAGACTGAAAAATCGTAATATCACCTGGACAATCAAGTATGCGAAGGAGAAATGAAGAGTGCAATTATTCAACCGTCCTAAGGTGATTGAGGGACTTACCTCTTTGGCTAACAGTAAACGAAATCTGGTGATAAGGCTCTCGCCGAAGAGAAAATAGTTTGAAGAGAACAAGAAGTACCAGGAGAGAACTCGAAACCAAGGAAGATCATGGGATCGATAGACGACCAGACCGATGTTGATAATCTCGTAGAAGCAGGCTAACTGAAGCACCAACACCTGTGTAAATGTCGAGAGGAAAGGGCACGCTTAGAGTGACGAAAGCATGAAGTAGGTAAAATGGTGGGGTTTCGAAAGCAGTTATCAACAGGTCGTTATAGTGAATGGGATGAAGATAGTTGTCACCCATATCTTTAAGACTCCTTTTGAGTACTGCCGCTATCGAAACGATGGTGGACTAGATAGTGTCACAAATGTGAGACCTGGGGGTTCCACAATGAGCCCAAATAACTGATGAAAGTCACAGGGAAAACCAGTTTGGTTAAGTTAACGCGTATTGTGGTAATGCGGATGAGTGCAATACCACGGGATCAGTTAGTATGTTAGTTAGGTTATTGGTCACGAGTGGCCACTATTGCACTGCAATACCGGGTGCAATCGATAAGCGTAGGGAATTGCCAGTGAAGAGATTTGGTGATAATGACAAGAGTCGTGCAGTGTATAGCAGATTTCCTGAGGATCAGATTGACGGCAGAGTTGAATGTGCACCGATATCTTGAGGGGACGTTAGCAAGGGCGTAAATCAGAACAGAATGCGCAAAATCACATCAAAGTGAGCATTCTCAGATGAAAAGGTGGAAAGACAGGACCCGATTGGTCATCGATTTAGGCAGTGAACATTTTTGGGTATATGGACAGAATGATGGGCAGAAAACACCACAACGCCACAAATGTTGTGTTACCAGAAAACGTACGAGTGTAACAGAAGAACTAAGCAGCATATGGTACAATGACACTGACTGGTGACAGCAGTACTGTAACGGTGCAAACACAATCCACTTGACTTCTTTTTTCCAAATACCATTTACTTACTTACTGCCGCGTTGGAGAATACGCTAGGCGTAAGATTCAATCAATCATTGGCTAACTAGGACTAATACGACCGTCTACAATGATTGTGCAAGTGGTCGGAGTGGTGCGAGTTGAGACATCATGAAGTCGAGATCGATCGATAACATCCAACCACGCTGAACACCGAAACAACACAGAAGGAGAAATTTTGCATGAAACAACTATCAAGGTGCTGTGAGTAGCTTGTGATAAAGATGCAAGTGGTTCAAAAAATTGCGGATGTAGTGGCGCCAAATACGATAAATGCTGATTGTATGCATTAATGAATCGACCAGTGCCCAGAAAGCGGAGAAAATCAGCCGTTGTGTATGCAACGAAAGCTCGTTAAAGTGTATGGTGGTAGGCTGCACTTACACTGAGGGATTAAGCCTGGGCGGCGGCCGTAAAATGATGTCAGAGGCTCTAAGTTAAGCCATAAAGTGGAAAGACATAGATATCAGATCTCTTTACTATAGTAAAGGAGAACCAGCAGACTGAGATTGTGCAGTTGATGCCTCTCGACAAACGTATCAAGAGCAGATATCGAATTTATAGTTAGGCGACACCAAAACGACTCGATGGATTTCGAGTTAAACCATAGATATTAGCAGCGCGTAGTATAGACTCCGAAAGATCACGAAGCGTTTGGTCACAAATGGCGGACACCAATCCAAGAGTGTTACCTGATGCTGTCTTAAAAAAAGACTGCACGACTACGTGATGACAAATGTCAGCGAACATGACTAACGAGACGACACAAAGTCCACTGTTCCAGCATGTGGTGAAGATGTTGTGAATCACTTGGAGAATTCATGGTGCAAGATCTCATGATGAATCACTCTGACACAAATTTGTGAGAGAGTACTTTGGCCGGCCCAGTTAATAGAATACGGGTGTCAGTGAGAAAAGAGCATGAGTGACAAGTTAAAACTGATGAAGATCGGAGCACAGTTTCGGAGATATGAGAACAATCGGTTTATATATTTAGCTGGTAACGTTTCGCTTTTGATGCACAAGCTTCGTCAGGCCAGTAGGATACGCACATAGTTGGTGTGGCATTTTTATAGCAAGTAATGGAGCTAGTCGTGACAACTGAGACATGAGCCAATGGACACTTAAAAACACAAATGGAAAAGTCATCTCAGTTGGTCCAGTAAGAGTAAGACTACACAATGGGTCTCACCGTCCGTCGCGTTGCTAATTATAGGTTCGACGGCGGGGGCGACGACGACGATGATGTCAGTCTTGCTATCCAACATCTTGTGCCTTAATGAACTTGTAACTGGAGGAATTCGAGAAGACGCTAGTAAACTCCACACTTTGTGATGATAACAAAAAAGGGGATAGGAAGGAGGAATTCATAAACCATTTAAATTCCAATGACGAGTCGTGCAGTGGTACAACACCACTCCTTCGCCGACAATTTCATAAAAACGGAGGAAACTGGAAAACAGCAAACTACCGTAAACCAACACATACCGTTGGGATACAAGATAATACTACAGGTTAAAAAAGGCATCAACAATAGGCCAGTACGCAGTACCGACGCTTCAGTGCCGTGCAATCACCACTAGTTGCGTGTGGGCTAAAGATACCGCGAGGGTCGCCCTGTCCCTACGCAGGCGCGAACCGGCGCCGCCAGATTACGAGATAAACTTGTTACCTTTAGGCTACGGGAGCGCTATCAGGCTACAGGTTAACGGGAAAAGCCTTTAAGCTGGGATATGTTCCATAAGACACAAAGCATGCGCACAACGGAAGAAAATAGAAGGGTCACACGGAAAAAGGCGACGGACAAACTACTGGACAGTGACTATCCGTGATATCTAGTGGAACACCAGTTCCGAAAAGCAGTAAACCCACAAGTAAGGTAGGTAACGCGGTGGATAGGAAAAGCGGAAATTCCCTACAATGAAGGAACTTTGGAACCAATTCGGAGGGTGCTGAACAAGGAGGGCATAAAGGTGATCTTCCAGTATTGCCAAGCCTTACTTGCAACGTTGGTGCACTTTAAATGCCTTCATCTCACGGAAAGGACAACGAAATATGCGTACAAAATCAACTGCAGACGGTGCACAAGTACACACTGATCAAAGAGCGAGAACTATGAACACGGATCTTAGAACACAAAGGTGGCTCTTTGTGGCGGCCGAGATTCTGCTGGAGCTGTGCGTGCACTGGACACCGGACATCACATCGATTTAGGCAATATCGAGATCATTAGGCGGTTTACGGACGAAGCACCAGAGGTTAGTTGCCGAGGCGATCGAAACCGCCAAGCCAATAGCGGTATGAATAGAATGTAGGGGGGTGGAGCCCAGGACTGCGTGGCGAACAGTCCTAATCGGGCCAGTCTGACGAGCGTCGATACGCTTGTCAGACTGTATGGCAAATACAGACATCATTGACACCAAGAGCGCAATTGGCAAAGCGACGGATGGTGGAACCCCTGGAATAGTCGCAATCTGACTGGATCATCTTGGTTGACTTGTTCACCTTTGTCTGTGAGAGTCCCCTGACTCATGCCTTAGTTGTCAAGATTACCTCCTCACTCGCTATAAAAATGTCACATCAATTATGTACCTACTCAACTGGTCCGACGAAGCTTGTGTCAAAAGCGAAGAGTTACCAAAATAAATAAATAAATTGATTGTTCGCAAATTTCTCTGGAACCATGACTTTCCGATCCGTTCCAAGCATATTCCAGGATTTCGATGAACGGGGCACGCGCGATGATGACATATGAAAGAAAGTGGATATGCATGTTGGCAATGCCGGAGTGCATTTATAACGATTCATACAATGTGATTGTGGATATGCAACGGCATTGGGATTTTTAAAGTGTCAATCCACTCAAAGGAGGTCTTAGCACTGAACTAACTAGGAAGTCAAGATGACGCGGGCAGTGAAGGCTGGATGGAGCGCGCCAGCACTTGCAGCTAGTAACTCCCACAGAAAGCTGTTGGATAGTCTGGTTACTGTGAGCACAATCGTAGAACAGAACTCAGAACAGCTGAGACACCAGTCAGAAGCAGCATCATCAGCCGAGCAATAAGGGATGCGCCCGTGCTGTGTACTGAGATTGCGCTGTCACACAGCATTGAGCACAAATTTATTCTTCGTCAAGTATTGAGAAACACAAACGACCTGCTATGGTTTTCCTTGGATTGAAAGATACCTGTGGATCGCGACAGCTTGTGGCACTGCCTATCCATGGAAAACGGGACAGAGAAACGCCTCTGCATTCTCTCACTCTACCGTGACTCCCGCAACAGGGTAAGAGTCTATGGCAAAGTGTCTCCTGAATTACGCTGGCATTGGCAAGTTAAACGTCAGAATAGGATGTGTCAATCAAGACCTAGATAGTTTGAATGTTGTGTGTCGAGCGAAATGCTGCAACTTTCTCCGTGACATGCTTAGAAAAATACAATTGACGGCCGAGCAACAACTGAACTTGATGTCTGTGAAATGCGTTGATGATCAGATACCAAATGAACCGAAGAGGTACGTACTTAATTCGTCTTCTGTCTCACTAATTTGTCCCCAATTTGAGGTGTTATCACTGGGGTTTAGTTTCTCAGTACCATTGAGTAAATGTGACAGAGTAGAAATTGAAGCTCAGTTTGAGAACACTTCTAAGAGTAATTGTCCAGTTCGACATCACTGGTGAAGCAAGCTGTTGATCTAACACGAAGGCAGTGGATCTGGCAAACAAATTTCGTGTCAATGAAAGGGCCAAATGTTAATCAAGCACCACTGAGAGTCTTTAACGCAATTGCAACAAAATTAGGATGCGATAACATTGTAGACTGACAAAGGAACAGGAGTAGTTACACTGGAAAGTGGTGATTATATTGGGAAAATGCACATAGCTCTAGCTGACACCAGCCGCTTCGTTCGCGATGTGGCAGGTCGAAATGGGACCGAAGAAGTCGAGAGACTGAGACTGAGACTGTATTAAGAGCAAGTAGAAAGGTTTCTGTACAACTCTATCGAATTACGAAAAATCAAAAATATTTAGTTGTGAATCATCAGCAGTTGTGTCTGGTCCGTTAATCGTTTATCCGTGTTCGGTTAGGAATTTGTGTTGGTGTGATTATTTCCGGGCATACAATGTCTTCTTTTGGCATTGTATGTGCATCGTTTCACAAAAGCACAGTTTTCCGAAA